TCCCTGTATGAAGGCCCTGGCTAGAAAAGGGTTTTTCCAGCTTTGGTTGATGAATCAATTGTGGCCCTTCCTGGAGAGAAAGCCCTTGGCTATAATTATTGATGCTTTTGTACCTTCCATACCTTCTACTTATCTTTTCCTGAGGACGCAATAGCTCAGTGGTTAAAGACTCTGAGCTTGTCAACTGGAAAGCTGACAGTGAGAGTGTGAGCTCCCGTTACTTGCACCAGCTCCTGCAAATCTAGCATTTTGAAAGTATGCAAATGGAAGTAGATAAAGAGATAAACATTTTCTCATTGGATATCTATTTAAATTTGTTTTAATCCTATTACTGATATGCCAGTGGTGGTGAACCTATGGCATGGGTGCCAGAGGCGGCACTCAGAGCCCTCTCTGTGGGCACACATGTCGTTGCCCCAGCCTTGCCTCCCCCCATGACCCCCTCATCTCCAGCAGCCCCCCTGAAGGAGAGTCGCCCCTGAGCGTGGCTCACGCAGAGCAGCGCAGCCAAGGACATGGCAGCCAGGCAGCATAGACAAGATTCTGCCCTCACACCCCATCATGCACAGTTGATGCTGCAGGGCATGGGCAGAGGGTGTGACCGCCACAGCGCTGCTGGGATGCCTGGGCAATCTGCAGCAGGCCCTGGAGGCAGTGAGTGGCCCTGCGGGCAGGCGGGGCAGGGGATGGGGGGCAGAGTGGGGGCAGGGCAGGGGGGTGGAGCAGGGGCGGGGCCAGTTTTTGGGCACTCGGTCTCTAAAAGGTTTGCCATCACTGTGATATGCTGTATTTTTTGTGTGTGATTGAATATATCAGTTTACTGAGTTATTTTAATGTTCTGATTTTAAAGACTTTCAGAAACCCTTTGGAAATAAAACCATATAAAACTATAGTAAATAACTAAATATTCTGTGGGCAAAGAATGGGGAACTGGACCTGATCTAGAGATCAGTTCCATTCCTTACTTGCCTTGGTGGACTAAATAATAGTAGGAGTCAGTGCTTAAGAAAGGGAAGGGCTGACATCATCTATAGAAGCACAGATGCTGAATAAGACAGGGAGTTATCAATCTACAATACATTTCACCTTATTGCACAGACAGCTCCTGGATGGCTCATCCCTTGTGTGCCTTTTTCTGCAGGAGAAGGCTAGTGCCTTTTAGTGCCTTTCAACCAAGTGTTGGCAACTCTTCTTATACCATATGGATGAAGGCTGCTTATTCAGGATGAAGCCAGCACTTCCACCTTTGTCATACTCTGAGTGGCATTAGAAGGCAAAATGAAGGCACGTAGTTGGTGAAGAACTTCTACAAGGTTGATTGCCCTAGGTCTTACCACATGTTTTCCCCCTCTACAGGAGATAAAGCTTTTCTTGTAGGCATTCACAATTCATCCCCATACCTCTTGTTACAGTTGGCAGAGAGAAAGCATAAAGCTTCAGCTTTCCAGAGAGGGAACTACTGTATTAGGTGTGCTATCACAGACTTCTTTGTTCTACGGAGTTTTGAATGCTAATGTTGTTCCTCAGATAAAATTAGTCTTTCATTTTTTACTGTGACAACATATGAACTTACCAGTATTTCTAAAATTAAATACAAAGGAGAATATCACCCTAATAAGACACCTTAAAATATGTTTGATATGCTACTATTAAGTATATATTGGCAGGCAGCATTCATTTAGAGCCTTTGTCTGTTCGGGTCAATAAGTCATGTTTAAGCAGCACCAAAGGATTCATTGACACAGTTGATTTCAGGGTCAATTGTGTCTCCTTTTAAGAAGTCCCTTAGGATAAATTTACATGATAACTCATCATGCATACTAAAAAGCCCTTAGATACTTGCCTATAATGAATTTGAATTACACATATTTAGGACTACTAAATTCCCAAGGTACTGCTTGCATATGAAAAATATTTCATGAACATAGGAGACAAAAATCTTTCAGGTGAAAAAATATTGACAAATTTTCAATTAGGACCAATTAAAAGTTTGCACATTATTACATTACCCACACTGAAACTGATATCTATATAAATAAAAATGTAAATGTTCCTTTGTTCAAAATCTTAAATCTCCAAAAGTTCTTCACCGATTGCTTTGAAATTTTGACACAACGTTGCATTCGAATATGCGCGTGTTTTTATATACCTACTATTATATAGATGTCACACCTGTGACAGGTAAAAACATGCTTTTTTTGAAAAACAGCACCATCTGTTGGACGTAAAAGCAACACACTTCTTTTCCATTTAACCAGACTGAGCCACAGCAACACGTGGCCGGGTACAGCTAGTATTGATATAAAACTATTCATGACTGTTTGGAGGAAAGTTTTCTCCTTAAGCTAACTACACTGAAGCCATTCAACTGAAGGCTCCCAGTATAAGCATAACAGCCTACTGCAGCCACCAAATACATTGGTCTATTTCTGTGTTCAGTACTGCTAGATTTAGTCTGCTATTAGTTTTTTACATTCTAGTTTATCTAAATCTAGTATCAGTTCAGTATGGCGCTAATTACATTTATATGATTGATTTATAAATTTTTACATGAGTATTGCAGTCTGAGAATGTAAAAAGAAAAACTTGAGGTTGACTTGGCTATAGAGAGTTCTTTCTAATGCAGGGGTGTCAAACTGCCGGCCCGTGGGCCGGTTTCATCATACCGAAGCCACGCACATCCCATTGCCGGCAATGCAAAAAGAGTCTTGATACATCACGACACGTCATGTGACTTGGTGAGTTTGACACCCATGCTCTAATAGAATACTTCTATATGTTGGAGGCAGGTGTCTTGCAGGATCAGGAGAACTGGGTAGGAAAATTAACCCTAATAGATAAGTGTTCTTCTGTTTGCATAAGTTCTTGGTAAAACACTGCAAGTGCCCCTTTTCAGGATCAGATGAGTACACAGAGTGGCATTTAAAGGAGAGTGCATTGGCAGACAAGAGATTGAAGGTTTCCAAGGAAAACTTTACAAAAATGCATTATTCTACTGATGAGTGACTGCTTTCAATCCAGCTGGTTATAATGTGGAGCGGGATTGGGAATTGTTTGTTTGTTTTCTTGTTTGTTTTTAAAGACAAATAAATTTTGCAGCTTATTTAGAAAATGGCCTTGTAGTCTAGAAGGGCAAAAAATACATGAATGTTGACGTAATTTTGAAGTTCAACAGTAAATGGATTTCCCATTTAATCTGAAAGGAAGACTTTTTCCCCCTCTCACTAATAGAAGCTGACTAGGAGTTTTGCTCGTTTGGGTGTCTATGTTATGGGTGTTATGTTTACCTTATATGCAGCTCTATCATTCATCTCTATTGTATTTGTTTCCTGTGTCACATTGCTACTCTATGATTCATCTCTACTGTTCCTGTGATGCATTTCCTGTTCCTGTTGTATTCCCTCTCTCTAAGAAGGCTTTAATAATAATAATAATAATAATAATAATAATAATAATAATAATAATAATAATAATAATAATAATAATAATAATAATAATAATAATAAAGTTGAAAGGGACCTTGGAGGTCATCTAGTCCAACCCCCTGCTCAGGCAGGAAACCCTATACCATTTCAGACAAATGGCTGTCCAGACTCTTCTTAAAAACTTCCAGTGTTGGAGCATTCACCACTTCTGGAGGCAGGTTGTTCCACGGGTTAATTGTTCTAACTGTCAGGAAGTTTCTCCTTAGTTCTAGGTTGCTTCTCTCCTTGATTAGTTTCCATCCATTGCTTCTTGTCCTGCCTTCAGGCGCCTTGGAAAATAGCTTGACTCCCTCTTCTTTGTGGCAGCCCCTGAGATATTGGAACACTGCTATCATGTCCCCCCTTGTCCTTCTCTTCATTAAACTAGACATACCCAATTCCAGCAGCCCTTCCTTATATGCTTTGGCCTCCAGTCCCCTGATCATCTTTGTTGCTCTTCTCTGTACTCTTTCTAGAGTCTCAACATCTTTTTTACATCGTGGTGACCAAAACTGGATGCAGTATTCCAAGTGTGGCCTTACTAAGGCATTGTAAAGTGGTATTAATACTTCACGTGATCTTGATTCTATCCCTCTGTTAATGCAGCCC